ATACAGCTATTAAAATCGTACATGTCATGTGGAACTTTGTCGAATTATATACGAAATTGTTTTTTTTTCCTTTGCTTATATTGTTAAAAAGAAGTTCGATCAATATTTTTCATCATTTGCCCAAGGTCCTCATTCGCTTCTATCTGAATGAAATGGTACGTTTTAGGACCAGAGAAATGCATCAGAGTTGCGAGACATACTGCATGATGGCACCAATGAACACGGGCACACTAATCTTACGAATATCTCTGAGGTCAATTACTAAGTGACAGTATTTGTATTTATCAATTTACTTATTTTCTCCATTCCAATGTCAGGATGTAGAGGTGACGTTCAGCAGAACTATGAATGCCTCTGAGCTGTTGATGAAATTGGACTTGTTGTCGAAGCGATTGGATAAGATTGGAGGTACATCTCATCATTATTTTGCGCTTTTTGTCTCGTGTACGCGAGTTGTATCTCTTTGTTCTTCATTTTCAGTCGCAACATCGTGTGTATTGGGAAATCGCTGCCCTAGCGCAATGAAAGGTTGGCTGATGATTCAAATATCATGTTGTTACATTTTGACTTTAACTAAAAGGAATAAAATATTGTAACATTTCAGGAAGACAGCGGATGCATCTTCCTTCAATTCCTGCTCGCAGAAATGCTCAAATTGTGGGAGTCAGAAAGTCTTTTTTTCTCCTAGTGTTAAATCGGTGTTTTTAGTCAACTTGTTTTAGGCTCATTCTACCGTCAAAATTACCCGTCGCCGTACTCATAGTGCATTTCCGCTAGAATATCGTGAACCAATGAATGACGCTGTGAAAGTGATCCGAGAGGCAAGAGGTGCTTTCTACTTTTAGGTCCTTCAAACGAGTTTTTTTTTTAAATTAATTTCTTAATATTGTCTTTGCAGAGGAGCAAGATGCTATATGTGGGCGTTTGGAGGCGTCGTTTCCTAAGAATCCTGATGCTTTTAAAGAGAATGAAGGTTGTTTAGTATTGAATCATAATGTGGAACTCTTATTTCATAGGCGGTTGATTTCAAAGGATACGATCCCCGTACGTATTTGAAATGTCCTATGAATTGCATACTTGCAGTCTGGAATTTGCTCTAAATAGTTAATATGCAATTTCATATGACAATTACTATCGTTTTGCAGTTTCACTTAGTTTTTGGATGGTTTTTTTTTCACAATTTTTTAGTTCCTTATTTTAGAACCCAGGGATACGCAAGCCTATGATTTCCCTCATTTGGCCAAAAAGACAACAATTCAGGTAGGAAATAGTGGTTTTTTTTTCAATTTACATTGCATAGCATATTCTATTGAAGCGCATCACTGTCCTGTGATGTAATTTATTTTCAGAAATCTAAGTATTTTACCCAGAAGGCGAAGACTCCGGAGATAAGGTCTCCTCGAAAGTGTCTCTCGTCTACTGAGAACAGTTCAGAATTGGGTCTTCTTGGGCTTAAAAGTTTATCTCAGTGTATGTCCTTGATCTGGAGCCTATATAAACTTCCATAAGTTGAACTGTAGGTGGTGCATATGCACCATTGGTGGAAACGGCCTCATCCATGATCAATCAACTGCAATCCGCTTCCAGTTCTGCAGAGTTTGTTGGAAAGAAGCATTCCGCAA